TGAGGGTGACGTCTTCTATTTACTGATCCTCACCCACGCTCACACTCCACATCCTCATCTGTCGTTTGTGTACTATCTTAGAATAAAAACTAGTAAATTATTTAACATATCTTAAAAAACAGCAAACATGAACACAGTTTCCAACATCCTGTTTTTACTGTTACGATCTTCCAATATTTTCACGCCAAACTCCGGTCAAATTTCACTTTTTTTTTTCTCTAAAAATCAATATTCGTTGTTCGTTACGATCTTCCGAACAACTTTCATTACGAACATCCTGTTCTTTTTTAATTTTGATTGATTTTTGTCATTCCGAACACCCTGTCCTTTGTCATACGTCCGGAGAACGTAACGAACATATGCTACTGGAGATCGTAATGAAAAGTTGGTGCGAAATGTCCCTTTCCCATATATGAGTAAGTGATAATTATTTACTCAACTATTTTTCTGTTGTAACTTTGATTTTTAATCGATTTACAAGAACAAAAATTCACAAGATTAGATAAATTGAAGTTTTCAAAAAGGGCCGAGAGTTCTCAAGGGTTACCGACATGTTTATCTGTCATTAGCATTTCGTAGATCTTAGAATAGATACGTTAAATCGCGCTTATTACAATAGTTAAGTTTTAGAAATAATTATGAGGAAAAACTTCTATATGACTTTATCAGGAGGTATCATCTTAGAAGTTTATGTATAGTTTAGAAACACAAAGAGATATATTTCGATTATGTTGAAAAAATTATAAATAAAAAAACTCTTGCATAAGTACGATCAACTATCGTTCAGTTGTATAAAATATCTCATTCTTTTAGTTAAAATTTTGTTCATATTTCTTTCATTTTAATAAAAATTTGCATGGTTTCGCAATTGATCACTATTATTGCATCACAATTAGAGGTGTAAGCCATTCAGCTGCGCCACCGCCACACAATCGGAGATAGTTCGACGAATTTTTTAGCCACCGCCGCTACTGACATTTTTAGGAGCAAAAACGTTTTTCTTTTTGGTTGTTAAAGCCGCAGCCGCTGGTGTAGAAAAATATTGAGTCTAGTAGGCGCCGCCGCCGTTTGGCCCTTCGGATTACACCTCTAATCGCAATTTCTGCCTATGTTCGATGACTAGAAACGACAATAGTAATTGAATATTTCTGACATTTAAAAAGTGAACCTATATTAGAACATGTCAGATCTAAAATTTTCGGACATGGCCAATAAGATAGATCAAAAATATAAGGAATATAACTTTTTAAGAATATGATTTTAACTTACCGATGTGGAAACATTCGAAAACAAATTCCACCAATAACTTTTGAAGCAAAAACTATAATAAGTGATTGATGTCTTGGATCAAGTACAGTTCGTGCTATATAATTTTGTGGCATTTTAGGTAATGCACGTGAAAAAACATTAATCAATTGAAGTAATCTTTTATACATAAGATCAGTTTCATTAGCTCCATGTTTATTTAAATCATGTTTAATAAGATGAAATTCAGCAAAACCTCTTTGTTCAGCAAGACGTGCTACTTCATCACGTTTTGGATTTGCTTTAAATAAAGATTTTTCAATTTCAGCACGTAAACGTTGTTCATGACGTTCACATACACATGACCAAACACGATTTATAAATTCACTACCTGGTAATGGTGATGGATTTTGTTGTTGTTGTTGTTGTTGATGATGATGTTGGTGTAATTGAGATGATGATGATAATGATGATAATGATGATGTTGATGTTGATGTTATCATTCGAGATGGTTCAAGTCGTTTAAGTTGTTTTTTATTTGTTAATGCTTTTGATACACGTCGTGTTATTTTCTTTTCTGTTGTTTCATTAGTAGAATTTGTTGGTGTATTTGATTGATCACCAGTTAAAAGTGATTCAATATTAGCTTCAAGCATTGGTATAACTGGTCGTTCATATGTTGATGACCAACATGATGAATCGGTTTCAGTTAATGTTTGTTGAAATTGATCAAAAAAACGATTAAGTGATGGTGTTAATGAACGTGTTGAAAGTATATCGGATTTAAAATGATCATAAATAAGTAAAAGATATTCAAGACCAAATATTGTTATTGGATCATATTTTATTAAAGATTTAGGACATAATTGTGGTACAATACAATAACCAACCCAACGAGCATACCATAATTCATAATTATTGACCTAAGAAAATATTTAATCTTGCTTTTTTTTTTTTTTTTCTTCATAAAATTATTTTTGTTATAATTTCTATAGAAGAGAATGTTTCATTTGTATATGTAACTGATTTGAAAAATAATAAAGAGATTATTTGATTATGAGAAATAGTTCAATAATCTAAATTAGTCACTTTGAATTATTGGTATTAAGAATTATTTTTTTTTAATAAAAATTTTGTATTATTGAACTAATCTTAGGAATGAATGTAGCTTGGAAATATATCAAGTTGTCTATCATAATACTTTCAATCTTTTCTACAAGGTCTCAAGATAATTTCTTAATCTGATAATGAATGGTACAAAAGTTCTACATTAATTTTCTCATTAGTATAGCGTGACAATAATTGACCGTAGGAGCTTGATAATTTTCTTGTTAGAAAGAGCAATGTCTATATTAAAATAATTACCAAAAAGCTGAAAAATTTTTACAAAGATATTCAAATTACAAAATTATCGATTTCATAGGAAATAGTTTTATTCAAAAATGTTGTGTTTTTTCCTCTATAATGCCAAATGAAGTCTTTCTCATCATCTGTTATCAATTTATAATATCCTTTCGTAGCAACTACAGGAACAGAAAATAAGATTAACTTTCTTGGTGAATGCAAGTTTTTTTTTTTCCGAAACTTCAAAAACTTTTAACCTTCAATAAGTATTTTAGTAGACTTTTTAACAAGAAAATTATCAAGTCTCTACGATGAGTTCTTATCACACTATATTAAAAACAAAAATTAGATAATTCTTTCAAATAATTTACTTTTTTCATATTTGTCGTTGATGTTGAAGATTGTTCTTCTAACCATAATTGATGTGCAACACTCGATGGCATTTTCCATGTATTTAATAAATGTAAAAATTGTTTACCAGCTTCAAATATAACATGTAATTGTTGATTATCATTTGTTGTTGTTGTTGTTGATGTAAAATTTAATGTTGTTGAACAAATAAAATTAATAACAGCATCACGTATACATGGTTGTTCAAATGGACACATACCTAATAAATTCATCATATTTGTATTAATTAAATCTCGACGTGTTGAATGTATTGCCATTGTTGTTATTGTTGATTGTAATGTTTGGGCAATAAATAAAAGTGTTCGATTTGTTGATAAATCATGTTGATCAGATAATGATGGTGATGTTGCAAAACGTATTAATAAATCAGCATCAAGTAATGTTTGTAATGCTGAATCAACTTGTTCTAATGTTGATTCTGATGACCAATATATTGATTTTGTTTTTTCATTATAATGTAAATCATATGGATGTTGACATGAACAACAAAGTAATGGTTTACGTATTATTGTTGTATCATCATTTGTTGTTATTTCATTTATTGTTGATTCATTTGGTTTAATCCATCCAGCACAAAGACATAATGGTGTTGAACATTGTGAAAATGATGAAAGTAATTCAATTTTACGTGCTAATGGCCAATGTAATATTGTACTTAAATTACTTTGAAATAATGTTGAAGAATTAATGTCTACCATTTACATCTACAAATGAAAATTTATTGTTTTGTTTTTTTTTTCATATTTACAAATAATATCAGATAGAAACAAAAAAAAATAAAATAAGTAAATAATTAGATTTCAAAATAGACTTGAATAGCCCAATGATCTGAACAATAACGTTGAATAGATGAAAGTTTTTCAAGACCTTTAAGTTCAAAATAGATTGGTTGAAATTTTATATGAGGTTTTATTATTGATCGAAAATATAAACGATCAAAACGTGCGCGAGGTTGAAAAGTATTTAATGGAAAATTATTATTTGTATTATGACTCATATCCCATGTATATGCACATTCATTTCGTTTGCCTGTTTCAATCCATAAATCACATATACCAGATGGAATATTACCAATTTTTCGTAACTAAAAAAAAAACAAAACAATTAAAAGTATATCGAAGAATCACTTATTCAATACGAACATTGAAAAGCCGAATCAATGTCAATTAGTCTAGTATTGAGATGTGACGGATGAATTTTAGTCCTAGTCTCGGGATCGTTATCACAGTAAAAAGTTTTTTCAACCGAAAGTAAAGATTATTGTTAAATATTTAATGGTTTTAAGCATTTGATCTTATCAAGCGGAATATAATTCATAAGACATAATCCATAAAAAAGTAGTGAGCATCAACTTAATAAATCAAAAAGTAACTATTAAAGAATGTTTTTAAATTTAATACAAATATAATTCTGCAATAGTTTTCTCTAAACTGGAACAAAGCAAAAAAAAAAACTTGGTACTGCACAATCTCTATTCTGGTTACATTTTATAGACTTTATCATCAAAGAATTCGGTATGAAAATCCAGTTTTGCTGAAAAGAACAAGCAAGATATCAGAACGCACTCTTTGTATCTTCATAAAACATAAGTTTTACAGGAAAACAATGCTCTTTCTGTATCAAAGAATTCTATAGAAAACTTCACAAGTTATAGATAACAGTGAATATTTGATATTACATAAACTAAAACAATCTCATTCATTTGTGTGAATACAATAAGCAAAGTTCACATACAGAGGACGCTAACTATCGCTATTTATCATATTAAAACATATCGCTTGATGAAATACACCATAGTCTCTCAATGATTTCATACTGCAAACAAATTAATTTAAGAAGTAGTTTTTCATAATAATAATCAATTTTCATAATCTATGTAATGTCGAAAATTCAACATAAAAAAATTTCATACTCTAAGTTAAACTCAAATGTCTTACTTCTTTTTCTCGCATATTTAAATCACCACCAAATAGAATAATTCGATGTAATGGAGCATCTAACATTCGTTGAAAACATACTTTTAATTGTTCAATACGTTGTTCACTTGACACTTCTTCAGTACCACTTTCATGATGAGATGTCATTAGATCGATTTCAATCGAATTTTTATATGTAGTCTATTCAGAAACGAAAAAAAAACAAAATAACGAGTAAATCTATATGCAAAAATAAAATATAATACATGAACAATAAGTAAATTACGATTCATATTACTACCAGGATATGCAATTATTTCAAAACCATGTATTCGAAACATATCTCGACGAGTTAATATAACAACAAAATAACCTTGTATATTTCCTAAAAAAATTAAAGTCATATAAAAACAAGTTAAATGAAAATTTCAACTAACCAGCATATGAATCATATTCTGGTAAAAAAGTTCGAATTAATTTGAGTGATGTTGGAATAACTTCTTGTAAAAATACAGCATCAGGTTCTTCTCTTTGAAAATACAAAATAAATGATATATTCATAATAATTATATTTTATAAGTAATATTACTTTTTAATAATATCAATAACACCTTGTGTTCTTATTTCAAGTGCATATTCATCAAGTCCATCAATATTCCATGAAAGTAATTTAAAATTCTTTTTAATATTTGTTAATTCAATATCAGTTATTGAGGATTTTATATTTAATTCACTGTGATAAGAGAAGATTAAAGTTATCCGATTGGATATTCACAAAAAAAAAAGAAAAACACTGACGAATTTTCATATTGATTATCAATTGATATCGATGAATCAATTTCTTTATTCGATTGATCTATTATTAAATCAAAATAAGTACTAACAGCACGTTCAAGATTCCATTGATTTTCTTGTAATATTATCTTAGCTAAAGTTGTATCGGTGTTGGTTACTGATACAAATTCTTTACATAAAGCTATAGCTTGAGTATCTGTTAATGAACTTAGGTCATTGTCAGTATTTGATGAATGAGATTGTACTGTACTATTCATTGTTGTATAGTTTAATTAAAAGAAAAACTCTTATTGAACAAAAAAAAGAGACATCCGTTAGGCCCTTGTTCACAGAATGATCCAATTTATACCAAAATATTATTAAAACCAATGACAGTTGTAAATGAAATGTATCATTCACTAGCGACCTCATCGCAAATAAACTCTATACAAAAAATAAAATATTAGACTTGTATTTAAAAAATAAAATCATTTTGTATGTAGAATGATTTAATTAATAATTATGAATATATTTATTGAATTATTTTGTATCATATTCATTTAAAAAATGATTGTATTTATCTATTTCGGATAATTTGACAAAAATATTTTGGTAATTTAATTTGTGTAATACAAAGAAATTAACATATTATTGAACAATAGATTAATGAAAAAAATTTTCTACGTATGCTAAACTTTTCATTTTTTTTTTCTAAGGCAATACTCGATGCTCTTAATTCTACATGTTAAATTAGAAACTTAAATTAATATGCGTTAAAACACCTGCATATATATACGAACTTTTTTGTCTTTACTTGACATGTCTGTCTCTGATTTACTATCGTATTGTGTCAAGAAATGATAAGAAAAAAATCAGAATAATAATTATAGAAAATTCAATAGAACATATTTAGTAACCCCCCCCCCCCCCCCCCCCAAAATTGAACCCCCCCCTATAATAGAAAGGCACCTCGAATAAAAGACCACCCCCGACCATTTGATTCTCTGGACATAATATAACGCCATACCAATTTCAAGGAAAAATGCGAAAAAAAT